CTAACTTCACTTGATTTGGAAACTAACTTCACTTGACTTAGAAACTAACTTCACTTGAATTGGAAACTAACTTCACTCGAATTGGAATTATGAATTCAAGGTGTTTGATCACATGTTATGGAGGGATTCTTGATGTTTGGACGTACTTTGGAGTGTCGGAAACAACTATGAAACATAGGTATAACACCTAGGAACATGCATGAGAAAGTGGGGAAGGAATGGGAAAACTTGGCGCTCTGAGAGGCGCGGAGCGCCAGCCCTTGGAGCTCGGAAGGACTGCTGTGGCGCTCTGAGAGATGTGCCACGCTAGGGGTAAAACATCAGAACCCCTGTTGGGGCGCGCTGGCTGGTGCGACGCCCCAGCCTTTTCCCCCAAAAATCCGACTCTTCTCCTTCATTTTTCCAACTCTAAACCTCCTTAACTTCAAGGTTTCCAGCCCCAAACACTTAGAATCATAAATCCCTCAACATACAATAGATTTCAACTCACAAACACAACCGGAAACATGTCCCAAATCAACAAGAACTTCAACAACACAATTAACAACATCAACAACAACCAACAACTTCAACAACACAACCAATCTTTCCTCAATAATAAAAATGAGTTTGGTGTGTGGGGGGAAGGATCAACCCAACACTAAGAACTCACATACCTAAATAGGGATCACCCCTGATGAAATCTACGATGATCTCCTTGCTTGATCTTCCCTTTCTCCTCTTCTTCTCCTCTTCTTTCTCTCTTATCTCCCAAGCCCTAACTCTCACTCTTACTCTCACTCTTTAAAAAGGGAAAAAAATGATCCAAAAATCAGTCTAACACCTCAATATAACCCAAAGAAATGATTAGGGAAAAGACCAAAATGCCCTTAAAATTTCCGGACGGACTTCACTGCCAACTGCCCAAGGGCATAACTCGCTCATACAAACTCGGAATCAAGAAAACTCAGTGGCATTGGAAAGATCATTCCACAAGCTTCGCAAACATAACTGGAACTACTCCTAAGTAATCCTGAGCTAGGAGTTATGACTGCTCAAAGTTGGCCAAAAATTCATTATTTTCCATACTTAGCCAAAATTCTTTCCAAAAATGACTATTTTCGATTTTTAAGCTTCTTCATAGTTATTTCAACTTACCGGATGTTACAAAAATAACTTCAAAAATCGAATGGGTAAAACAAGATTTTTAGTTGAAAATCAAGTTCTGCAAGTCAAGAGGGATTCTGAAATCCTGGATACACCTCTGATTTCAATGTCATTTTCTTAAAATTTCTTTTGGAGCAATTTCGCGGTAGTTCTACGGTCAATTCTAAGTACTACTTTTTGAAATTTCAAAGAAATTAATTTTTTTATTATAGGCAAAGGAGAAGTAATAATTAAATGGCGGGAATCTTAATAGCTCAGTTGATTGTTTTTCTACTTAAACTTTCAGCTTATTAATGAGGATTCGATTCCCCACATTGTAATCCACATCGGCCCATCTAGCTTATGTGGATTCACGTGAACACATACCGCATTAGCTAGATCTTCCCCTGACCACGTCACAACTTGCATTGAACATCTATTACCATTGCAATATCTGAGAGCAGATTATTCGAAATTATTATGTCTCAATCCCGAACGAGTGAGCAAAATTTATAGACAATAATGTAAAATTCAATTGCACAAACCAACCTATAAAGAGATTATTTATTATCACTTTCGTACTACAACTACGACATTATATTTGATCCCAACCAAACTGGTTATCATGTAATATATATATATATATATATATATATATATATATATATATATATATGGATTCTAGGAAATTGCATATATATATATAGCAAGATAATTCCTTTCATATGATTTTAGATCTACCTTATTGCCTTTAATTAACTCAATCAATCATCATGGTTGTACATGCTAAACATAATTATTAAATTATTAATATTAGGATCTTGAACATAATGAACTCATGAATTGAAAGCATCGTAAAATATGTATTTGAAAATTAAATTTATACCATATTATAAGGTTACCAATTCTTCTATGGAAGTGACAATTGATAACTCTAAAAAGAACTTGACCATTACCATCAAGGTATTGGAAAAGAGCCAGAGCTAGAGGCGTAGTTTCAAGACCTAGTCCAACTATAACTCATGATATTGACTTGGGCGGTGACAAGTTTGACAGACTTAGTCCAACTATAACTCATGATATTGACTTGGGCAATGACATATTTGACGGGGATGATGGGTGATATTATCATGTAAAATTATTACTTTTAATGGTAAAATTGATTGAGTAATTTATAATAGAAAAACTCAAAGTTAAGTCATTTTATTGATATAAAACAAAGTTGAATGACTTTATAAGATAATCCCTAAAAGTTGGGTGGCATTTTGAGATATCTACTCGTTTGACTAATTAATTTGAGAAGATATTAATGATCTCCACAAACTTATATTGCAATATCATCTCACATTGGCCAACTTTATAATGACAAACACAAGAAAAGTCAGTCAACTTAGAAAGAAAATATATATTTATATTATATGGTCAGTCAATTACTTGCATTATTTAAGAAATATATATAAAAACATATGAATATATATTATATGGTCGAGAACCAAGTTTGATATAGCTCTCAACTTTGCGATTTAGAGCTGATATACCCTTATTATAAAAGTAGATCATATATTTCACTACTATTACACAAATAAATCAGATATATCATTTTGGTCTAAAGAAAGTGAAAACATAAATTTTAAATTTTATTTTTTAAGTTTTAATTTTAAAAAAATCATGTAGGATATATTAATTGATCCTTCACACACGTGAATTTTGTTTACTTCTTTGATTGAACAACTAATTTGGGTTTATTATTTTAATGGTCAAATTTATTTTTTTCACTTATTTTATTGTAGAATATATTTTTTTACAGATACAAAAAAAAAATTCAATAGAGTCGAAAAAAATTAATTTTAAATGTTTTTCTTACTTTTTTTTTCTCTTTTTTCATTCATACTTATTTTTAGAGGAAAAAATCATGAGTGAGAAGGAGCAAAAGTATATGTGAATCACTTTTGTAACAAAGGGTATTATCAACTTAAAATCGCAAAGTTGTGGGGTACATCAACAATGACCATTTTGTCCTCAGGATTCTATTAAGTTGCATAGCAAATATTATATACAAAAAATCCTCATGCTGAAAGATGAGCTGAATTAAGCAAACTCTAGAGAAGAAAGATGCTGAGTGTATGATATTATTGTGAGAATAGCAGAAGAAAAGTATAATCGGAGAACCTTCTGCTAGCCCAAGATCGTTAAGTAAGATTCGAAGACTCAACTAAAGAAGAGGAAACTAGAAAGGAGAACTTGTTTATGGAAGAAGACTTTGATTTGGGTTGTTCTTTGGTTCTTGGGTTATTTAGGTTGGTCTTAGCTTATATTGGGTTTTTTACAAATGATTATAGCCATCCCTATTTATACTAGTGTAGGGATGCTTCTAGAAATTATTCTAGATAGATCTACAAGAAAAATCTAGATAACCTTATCTTCCAACTATCTAACAAGAATCTAGATTATTCTATCCTTTACTATAAATATTAATTATCTAGAATATCTAGATTTTTCTTAAGTATTGATATAAAAGATATTTACTTTACCAAATTCTAGAAAGTTCTACTAAATATCTAAGATATTTTTTGTACCTCCAAAAAATCAACTTTAATTTTTCACAATTACTCCTACTATATAAAGAAACTTTTGAGTGATACTGAAAAAGAGGGAGATCAAATTTAAGAAATCTTACGTATAACAATATTATAAATGTGATATTGTTTATGAAAAATCTTGCGTATAAAAATAGCAAGGTTTTTGAGACATCTCTAGCGATCAAAGTGTCATTCAACCTGTAAGTATGAATGATCATATATATGTCTATAGCATAGTATGAAAATATCATCTAAAACATCCTTTCAATGAAATTGCTAGATTATTTTTGTCACAATTAAACTCAGGAATATAGCAGAAGCCTCACACTAATCTTTCCAAAGGAAAACTGATAATAAATATCCTTCACTTAATTTTTGAAGGGTATTTCTCCAGTTATGTTGTTGAAAGAAATTTTGAGTAATGTGAGTTGGCAGATGTTGGAAGGGATGTGACCAGAAGATAGATCGTAAGGAGTGGCAAACGAATGATTCGATCGAAAACGAGTTAAATAAATATGGATAAAGTAATCGACTCAACTTATATTTTAAATGGATAAAAACGAGTTACCCAATGGATAATATGGGAAAACCATGAGAGCCTGGCCCAAAACGGACAATACCACACCATGTTAAGACTATCTTTGAGGTGATTTAACCCAACAATATAATCCGCCATTCCTAGGGATCATGTGTATGTGTGTGAAATTCTAAAAAAGTACAAGTTCTTCAGTTCATCAAACCCATTTGTTAGCATATACAATCAGATGAAAGAATCACCCAAATTGGAGCACCTTCAAATCCAATACCTTGTGTAGAAGCTGTAACAATCACCACTTCCCCTTCAAGTTTGGGGTCAATCACCAATTGTCGATGGCTCACTGGACTAACGTTAATACATGAAAAATGCCTAAAATCCTGTTTTGTGATAGCGAGTCCAAGTGATGTTCCTCTGTATAAAGTCTTTTCTTAATAAACTCATTTCCTGTTCTGCATCTCAAGTCCAAAGAATACAGTAATTAGTACAAAGGAAATGAAAAGTGCTCAGGTTATCAAAATAAGTTTATTTATTGAATACAAATAAAGAAACTAATGAACAGAAAGCAAAATAGTGCAGCTAAACACCTTCATTCTAGTTTCTAATTTCAAGCTAGCATTCAAAACATAATTACAAATAGATAAAGTAAAGTAGGTTCAAAATACTCAAATGAAATTACAAACAATACATGACTCCAAGTAGTACTATACGACAACTTTACTAAACAACTCAGAAAAAAACACCATCTGAATAGATGATGATCACTTCTCTGTCTCCAGAAATGTGTTGTTGATTTTTTTAAGCCTCTTCACGACATCCTTCATAGTTATTCTTGATTCTGGCGTTTCCTTTGTGCAATCTAAAGACAATTCTATCATGGACGCTATACAGATTTCAGTTTTACAAGTGATTTGTACTTCCTCACAAAAATGATTGGCATCCATCATACTCCCTGAAAATGATTGTATTATCCATTTCCTCAGGTCAAGATTTTCATTGCACAGCTTTTCATCTGTTGGCCTTCTTTTCGTCAAAACCTCCATCAACATGATGCCATAGCTATAAACATCACCATTAGCAGACACTAATCCCTCCGAGCCATATTCTTAGAAAAGGAATGTCGAGAAGTTACTCAATTGAAATACAACAATAATTCTGCATAAATGAAAACTTGTTTTTTTTTTTACTTGTAGAATTTGGAGAGGCTAAATTATGATATAAGAGAAAATCAAAGAGAGTAGAATTTTTTATACCTGGTGCAATGTATCGAAGAGTGCCCAATGTCTCGGTATAAGCCATGAACTTGCTTATGGCTAAAATTTTAGAGATTCCAAAATCACCAACATGAGCCACCATATCATTATCCAAAAGAACGTTGGCTGGCTTTAGGTCGCAATGAACTATTGGAGTGACATGACCATGATGTAGATATTCAACTGCCATAGCTGCATCAAGCATTACAGTGACCACCCTTTGATGAAGGTTCAAGTGGCGATCTTCTTTGTACAGCCAATTTTCTAGGCTTCCATTGGGCATAATTTGCAGAACAAAGGCTCTTATATAGTCACTTGAACATGTAGTAATCACTGGAACAAGATTTATGTGTCTAACATTTCTCATCACTTCACATTTGGTATCAAACCTCTTGCAAACTTTCTCATTTTTCAAATCCAGAACCTTAATGGCCACTGCAGTTCCACCAAACAATGTGCCTTTGTACACAGAGCCAGAGCTTCCCCCATCAATTAAATTGGATTCATCAAAATTATTTGTTGCTCGTTGAATCTAGTGATAAGAAACTAATTGATGAGTCCCGATCTCCGGTACCTTTTCAACATCTGTAGACTTTCCTTTCTTGTATCGTTTCATTATCCAAATTGAAACCAACAAGAATATCAGAAAGGATGCAATAACCACTACAGTAACAAATTTGAGCACAACCTCCTTATGCTTTAATTGTTTTCCAGGATTAGTGATAGCACAAGCAGGAATCTCCAATATGTGCATTCCGTAATGTCACACCCCGAGCCTACACCCTGGGCGGGACCGGCACACAAAGACCATTGCTGGCCCCAAGCGAACCCTTGGCCTGGCTTACTTAACTCAGTGGAAAACTTAACTCAACAGAATAACTCCATTCAATGAAAGGTCATAAAACAGCCCAACTGATAAATATCTTGGCCAGAAAGGCAACTCGAGTCCCAAAATAGAATATTTATATATATACATAGATGAAAGACTCAATACTAACTGACTGACTGACTGTCTATGAAACCTTTATAACACTGAGATGGATGTTGGGACAGACCCCGCAACATCCTAATGAAACAAAACTAAGAGAACAAAATAACCGAGTCCTCTGGAATGCAAAGAGGCTCACCACTGACTCTGGAGTGCTCAACTGGATCAACGGTGTGCTGGGTGTTGATCCTGGGTACCTGCGTCTGCATCATCATAAGATGCAGGCCAACTGGCATCAGTACATTGAATGTACGAGTATGCGAGATGGAAAGCTAAACCACAACTTAAGCTTGAAAGGAGAACAAGAGAACACTTACCTTAGCTCTGTTCGACACATGAATGACTGAACTCAAAAGTAAAGCAATAAGACACATGCAATACATAAAGCTTCTAAAACATTATAAACAACTTAGTTCGTTAAGGATAAAGCAATAACAAACTCAACTTTACTTATATAAAAGTAATATAACTTTAGTGGGAGATTCTTTAACCGACAACCACCACTATGAGCCCTAGTGATGATAAAACGTTTTACCTCACGTTGCCCAAGGACCATCCTATACCTTGTCGTGATATAGGACCTTGCTTTACTTAGTGGATCCACTAGCTTAACTTACGTGATCATCTAAAAAGAATGACCCATCAAGTCCCATGTTGGCTACATGGTTCTTATGGAGGGTTGAGTTAATATGTCCCCAATTCGGTGCTCAATACTACTCCCAAAAAAATACTTTGGCTCATAAGTGTTTTAAACACACATCTTTCTATAGTTTGAGATAATTGCTCAAAGCTTAGCCCAAAGGCTCTCTTGGAAAACATAGTTCCTTTCTTACTCAAATGTAAAAAAAAGCATTTATAAACTTCTTCGGGAATAATTAGTTCCCTAATAACTTTTGAGAAAATGAACTCAACTCTATACTCTTTACTTAACTTGAAACTTGAGCCTTAAAACGAAGTTAAAACGTTCAATAAAGACTCTTGAAAAACATTAAAGACTTGCTTTGACTTACTTCTTAACTTCTAAGCTTGACTCTAACTTCACTCGACTTTGATCCTAACTTTCCTCGAATTGGATTACGGATTCAAGGGTAATGATCTCATGTTTATGGATGAGTTCGGGATATCTAGATGTACCTTAGAGTGTTGGAAACAACTATAAAACATAGGTACATTACCAAGGAACATGTATGAAAAAGTGGGGAAGAAATGAGGAGAACTGGCGTCCTTGGCGCTCTGAGAGGCGCGGGGCGCCATCCCTCAAAATCCAGAAGGCCTGCTGGGCGCACTGCATGGCACACCGCCCCAAGGGGGGAACTTCAGAGCCCCTTTTGGGGCGCGCTGGCTGGCGCGACGCCCCAGCCTTTTCCCCAGAAAATCCGACTTTTCTTCTTAGTTTCTCCAACTCTAAACCCTCTCAACAACAAAGGTTCTTTCGCCAAACACTCATAATCATTAAAACCCTCAATATACAATAGATTCAACTCGAAATTCCATCCGGAAACATGTACCAAATCAACTAGAAACTTCAACAACACAACCACGAGAATTCAACACCCACAACCGCAACTTCAACAAACACAACCAATCTTTTCTCAGAATTAAAACGAGTTTGGCGTGTGGGGGAATGAACCAAACCAACACTATGATCTCACATACCTTAATAGGGATCACCCTCGATGAAAACCATGACGATCTTGACGAATCCTTGCTTCTTCTTCTCTTTCTCCTCTTCTTTCTCTCTTCTCTCAAAAGCCCTAACTCTCACTTTAAAAAGGAAAAAATGATTTAAAATCAGTCTAAAACCTTAATATAACCAAAAGAAATGGTTGGGAAAAAGACGAAAATACCCTTACAAATTCGGACTAAACTGCCCTGTGCCAACAGCCCAACTTCCAAAGGGCATAACTCACTCATACGAACTCGGAATCGAGCAAACTCGGCGGCGTTGGAAAGATAATTCCAAGAGCTTTCCAAAAGTAACTGGAAATTCACCTAAATCATCCTGATATAGGAGTTATGACTGCTCAAATTTGACCAAAAACTCATTTTTTTCCCATACTTAACCAAATTTCCAGATTTTGAATTCTCTCCAAAAAAATGACTATTTCCAATTTCCAGCTTCTTCATAGTTATTTCAACTTACACGATGTTACACGTAAAGACCTTTGTTCCCGAGAAATGATTGCAAAGTGGAATTTGTAAACACGCCACCACTCGGTATTTCTCCTTCTAAATCGTTAAATGAAACATTAATGCTTTTCAGGTATGAGAGTTTTTCCAAAGACTTAGGAATAGTACCCGACAAGGCATTTAAAGACAAATTCAAGAATTCCAAGCTTATCAAGTTGGCAAAGGATAATGGAATTTGGCCAAAAAATGAATTGTTGGATAGGTCAATATACTGCAGGTTTTGGAGTTCCCCCAATCTGGTTAGTATCACACCTGAAAAGTGGTTATTGTAAAGATATAGTTCTACAATGGCTTTTAGTTCTCCAATATCTGATGGAAGCTCTCCCTCTATTGAATTTTGCGACACACTTAGATAGAGAAGACCACTCATCTTCCAAAGGCTCAATAGAAATTTTGATGAAAATTTATTAGAACCCAAATAAAGCTTTTGAAGCATGCAGATTTCCAAAGCATTCTGGAATTAATCCAGAGAGCTCATTACCATCCAGATATAATTCAACCAAATTAGACAAATGGCATGCCGCCTTTGGAATATGTCCCTGCAATTTATTGGTAGATAGACACAGCCCTTGGAGTTGTTTAAGCTTACCAACATCAGGAGGAATACTCCCTATCAAGTTGTTTCCTTGAATGTCTAGGGAAGTAAGACCGCTCATGTTGCCTATACTTGTGGGGATGAGGCCGCTGATGTGTGCATCGTCTATGTTAAAGTATTCAATAGTAGATGAAAGATTCCCAATATAATTGGGCAGAATGCCATTCAACGGATTGGAACCCACTTGTAGATATCGCAGCATCTTACAGTCCGCCAAAGAAATGAAGAATCGCAACTCATGCACTCTTGGTTCATTGGTAAGTTGATTAGTATGTAGGAGCAGTGCTCGCAGCTCACGGAGATTCCCCAAATTGTTAGGAACAGTTCCTGTGAGAGAGTTACGATCTAGCTCCAGTATCTCAAGCTTGGAAGCATTTGTTATGAACAATGGAATTTCCCCTTCAAGCTGATTGACTGCCAAGATAAGTTCCTTAAGGTTAGGAAGACCTATAGTGGTTGGAATTCTCCCCGAGAGGTTGTTGAAACTGAAATCAATCATTTCCAAAGAAGATATGTTGAAAATAGCCTCTGGAATTTCACCCATAAGATTATAATTATGGGCAAAGCTTAATTGCCTCAAATTTGATAGCTTCCCTAATTTCAGAGGTATTCCCCCACTATGCGATTGTTTCAACAGTAAAGATTATGCAGAGTGGAAATATTTCCCAATGAAGTGGGAATAGTCCCTTTTATTAGATTATCACCAATATAAAACTTCTCGAGTTTGGAGAAACAACCAATATTTCTGGGTATGTCTCCAGTTATATTGTTGAGAGATATGGACAAAACTTTGAGCTGTGTGAGTTGGCATATGTTGGAAGGAATGCAACCAGAAATTTGGTTGTAAGATATACTTAAGATGTTGAGATTTGAGACAATATTTTCTTCATCAAGCTAGAGAGAACCGGAAAGGCTATTGTTTGCCAGAGACACAGAAAGTAGAGACGAGATGTTAAACAATGTTGGAGGAATGAAACCTGTTAATTGATTGTCAAACAGGAATAGCTCTACAAGTTGGCTCATATTACCAATCTCCTTTGGAATGTTGCCGCTCACTCTATTCCCAGACATACTGAAGTTCATCATTTTTGTGGCATTTCCAACAGAAGGAGGGACTATACCGGTGAGGCTATTGTTCCAGAGATTTAAGACTCTCAGTTTTGGTACATACCATGGCCCTCTCCACATTTCACCACTGAGTTCATTAAAAACCAATGAAATTACTTGAACTCTTTGGTTTTGAAATAGACTTGTTGGTATACTTCCGCTGAGCTGATTGTTTTTAACATCAATAACTTTCAAGCGAGGCATTTCGCCAAGTCCATAAGGGATGCCACCGTGGAAATTGTTGTTCTCGAGATTGAGAACACTGAGAAAGGACAAATTGGCCAAAGACGGGGAAATTGTGCCTTGAAGTTAAGAGTCAAGGCCACAACCCTTTGGCTTTTTAGAGAGCAAGTGACACCAAACCAAGAGCAAAAATAAGTATTTTTGGTCCAATCATTGGCCAAAAAATGAGTAGATTTTTTACAACTGGTGCAATGTATCCAAGAGTGCCCAATGTCTCGGTATAAGCCATGGACTTGCTTATGGCTAAAATTTTAGAGATGCCTAAATCACCAACATGAGCCATCATATCTTCATCCAAAAGTACGTTGGCTGGCTTTAGGTCGCAATGAACTATTGGAGTGACATGACCATGATGTAGATATTCAATTGCCATAGCTACATCAAGCATTACGGTGACTCTTTGATGAAGGTTCAAGTGGCGATCTTCTTTGTACAGCCAATTCTCAAGACTTCCATTGGACATAAATTGCAGAACAAAGGCTCTTATATAGTCACTAGAACATGTAGTAATCACTGAAACAAGATTTCTGTGTCTAACATTTCTCGTCACTTCGTATTCGGTATCAAATCTCTTGCATACCTGTGAAGACAGATGATGCAGCGTTTATAGTCCAACTAGGATTAGTCTCTTATCTCCTAGATTGTGTTGGTTTTGTTACTGTACTTGTGTAACTATAGGACTCTTAAGTTAGACTCTATATATATTCACTCATGTACATCACATATAGAATTATTGAAAAGGTTTTACAAGGTATCAAAGCCCTAAGAGGTTTAAACAACCAAAAAAAAAAAACACAACGCAACGACGGCAATGGCAGGCGACTCTACTTCTACTACGTCTGGAACATCATCCACTACACATAATTCCTTTGTTACTGCTTTTACTTCTCCCAACCTTGCCCATCAACTGCCTGCTAAACTTACATCCTCCATTTTTTTGTTGTGGAAGACACAATTTCTCCCTATGGTTAGGGGTTGTGGTCTTGATTATCATATTGAAGGTAATGAGGTAATTCCAGAACGGCTTTTGGATAATAATGAACCCAACCCTGCCTATAATTCTTGGGTGAGAGAAGATCAACTTGTCCTAAGTTGGATCGTTGCTTCAGTCTCTGAAGGTATATTACCTCAACTAGTTGGTGCTAAAACTGCTCGAAAAGTGTGGACTAAACTTGTGACTGCTTATGCTTCTGGTTCAACGCCACAAATTCGTGAGTTAAAATCTCAGTTGCATAATTTACAAAGAGAGAATGCAAGTATTGAGTCATCATATATTATTATAAGTGGGAAGCTCCAAAGTAAAAAGTTGAATTACCATTTTGCCCTTTTACTAAATTAAAATTTGATTAATTATTTAATTAAATACAAATATTTTAATTACATAATGGTAGAATTTAAGTCCTTAAGTACTTTAATAATTAAATTATTATTTTCTTGATAAATGAGTACATTGATATTGCTTTTAATTATACTCATAATTCTCTTAACGGAAGAATTTGAAAAGTTATGATTCATAATCATATCATATATATTACTAATGTATCATATATCATATATTATATCATTCATATATTATTAAAAGTGGGAAGCTCCAACCTTCAAAGTTGAAAATAAAAAGCATATCATATAGTAAATGTTCAAAGTGGGAAAGTATTATATCAAAAAATGAAAGACGACAATGTCCATAGAAAGTTGCTAGACATTTTTATCCCTTTTTAAAGACTTAATTTGTTATTCTATATTTAATCATATCATATTGTATTAGCTTTTCTCATCAACGTCGAATTACAAGTTCACCATTGCAATAAATCAAAATATTATAAAACATTAAATTAAATATTATACAATCATATTTTAATTACTTGAAGGTTGAAATGCAAGTTCAGCACAGTACAAAATTTACGACCCTTCATTGAATTAAAATCAAATTAAATAGTAATGTTTAAATAACATAAATAATGAGTAAATAAAAAAAATCAACAATCATATTTTAATCCTCCACATTCAATTCTCCTGAAATGTGTGAAACTAATTTATTCGCCCATTACGTACTTTGTAAGTAACTTCTTACACAAATGAGAAGTTGAACAATTTCTTCCTTAATGAGTCAAATTTATTTTTTCACCTATTATGAGCATATGTAATGTAACTTACACATATTTTTTGCATCTAAAAAACTTCATTTATAACAATATGAATTACCTCAATTATTACTGCTAATTAATTTAATTTTTCTTGTTCTCTCCTATTAATTGTTTTTCACAACGTTCCACATTCCTTGTTATTTTCACAATATTTGATTTATCTTCATTAAATGATTTATCGTAAATACTTCTGCACATGCACATTTTTTTGAAAGTGTAACAATTTTTTGAGAAACTGAAAAGTTAGTCCAATTAAACTGACTTGATATATTTATTGTTTACAATTAATGTAAACTCATGAAAAAAAAAAACACATATATGGATTTGTGATGGGTTTTCAATCCAAAACTCAACATGTAGTAATTCATTTCTTAAGGTGGAGTGATTTGGATAGCAAAACAAGAAACTGTTGTACCAGTAAGAATTTTGACTAACTCAATTATTTCTAATTTTTTGTTTTTATTTTCTTTTTTCTGTGAAGAACATATGAATTGTTACCAAGTATGTAGGTCACTGTTGTTATCTTTATATTTAACTACTTTTGTTCTGTGTTGCTTGTATTTCGCTGGATGTTCACGTGATTTCTTAGCATATTTTATTTTAAATTTTCCTGTCACCTTTAGCCTTTAACCAATCAGTTCTCTAAACTAAAACTTCAGGCTAGAAAAATGTTTTCATTGCAAGGATACTTTCATATGTCAAAATGAAATTTCTATCAATTATAAAACTTTTTTCTATCAGAAAGTACATTTATAATTAATTCTAATGATTCTATATAAATTAGTATGAGATACACGTGCATTGCACGTGTCCAGAACTAGTATTATTATAAGTGGGAAGCTCCAAAGTGAAAAGTTGAATTACCATTTTACCCCTACACTAAATGAAAATGTTATAAAATATTTAATTAAATTCATCTAATATAATTAATTAAACATTTTAATCTTGAAATAAAGACATACTCCTTTAATAATTTGTGCAAAAAATTGTAAATATACGTTTAAATAAATGCTAAATATCATATTGAGTACAATACAATGAATCAACCATAATTATATGCTTCTCCACATATCAATTAGTAATTTCAAGAAGTCATTAGAAGTCATTTATATATGCAGCGTGCGTCTTAACAATTTCAGAATTGATTCTTCATATTCTTATATGTGTATTAGTACATTATCTTTTACAATTTCGTAAGTATATATATATATATATATATATATATATATATATATATATATTATCTAATTAAATCAAACATTTAATTAAATATCTAATTAAAAAATATTATTTTGCGCACCTTAGGTGAAAGTTAAATAAAATTCAATTAATTAATTTTTCAATTACATAAATTGAACGGGATTTGGAAGTGGAAAAGTGGTACTTTAATGCTCAGACAAACGTATCCAAGGAATTCACATAATACATGATTAATTGCTTTAAATTAACACATCATGTATTACTTTACCTAACTTTTACAATTCCTATAATTTGTCTTTTCATTTTCTTTAAGTTGACTTATCAAATTCTAACACTTCTAAATTAGTAATCAATCTTTGTTAATATATAACAATCAGTAGAATTTGAATAGTTCATTAAGTATTTAAGTGTAGGTTAATAAATACATATTATGTTAAAAGGAATTTCAAAGAACATAAAATAAAACACTATATAAAGGTAACAAATGATTTCCATTTCCTTCCAGTTTTGTTTCTTTAGTTGAGTAAAAAAAATCTGGCCTTCCTTCTCATTTTCTTTCTATTCCTTTAAATATTTCCTTTTGAATGAAATAAAGAAAATGGGAGTTGGAGAAACATGTAGAGTTGATACATGTTGGAATTGAATAATTGTCATATCAATTTACATGTAACATTAAACATTCATTGGATGATATATGGAGTGCAGCTAGCAGAAATTCATGAGCTATGAAAAGGAGGAAGTTGGTTTCTTTGGAAGACTTGATTTTAGAATTTTCATTAATTGATTTATTCTTATAACGTACTGTAATTATAATTGTTTACGGCTATAGATAATTAATACGACGTTATTTGTGTATTTGGAGGGAGTTATAAAATGATATCTTGTAGTAGCATTTTACTATAAAAGTGGGAACTACCAAGTTAAAAAATTGGGAACTACCAAGTTAAAAGTTTACATCTTTGACATTCATCTTAATTTGTTTGTTATTGTTGATATAGTAGTTGGATATCGCAGGTTATATGCCTTCATGACATCATGTGATTGGTATTGAAAAAATTATTTCGTAATATTTTGTATTCTGTAATGTGTCTTCATATTTGAATTTACTAATTCATTTTATAGAAAGAATTAGGAGTATCCGCGTCATATATAAATATAGTATCAAACTTTAAAAGGAAAATTTTCTTTTATTTTGATATGATATCATTGAAAAAAAACTATTTTAGCTACCACAAAATATAGGTATCTTCACTTAAATAGTTGGGTAGATTTACTATTATTTTTTCAAACCGGCACACACACACACACACACATATATATATATATTGATTACACATGATCGTACACATTACAAATGAATTATACATATATAATATATTATATACTCACCAAATTTTTTTTTATAGTTTAATCAATTGGATGAACAACTATTTTTGTTAGTTCTTCAAAAATAATCTTAGTTGCAAATTTTTGCTACATGTATTTTCAAAACTAATTATGTATGTATTTTTTAAAATATCATTAATATGGGAAACACGCGCAACGCGCGTGCACGGAAACTAGTATATAATAAAGGCGAAGGGAATTTCTAACAGGTTGGTTGCCTTGCAGCAACCAATTTCCAATGATGATTTGGTCGAATTTGTTCTTGCTGGATTAGGACCAACTTATCGTCCTTTCACAAGATCACTTGAATCACGTCAAGAGGATATTTCTTTTGACGCTTTATATGGAATGTTGTTGAATGAAGAACGTCAACTAAAACGAGATGAAGCTCTTACTGTTATTGCACCCACGACATAGTTTACCCAGAGTTCATTCACTCCTCATCGTGGTCGTGGGAGAGTAGGAAGAGGTTATCGAGGTCGTGGACGCTATCAGAATCAAGGATTCTCTCAGTCGACTCAAAATCGTGTTTCCCACCAGCCCTCTAATCCAATACCTTCAGACATGTCACAAATTGTTTGTCACAACTGTGAAGGCAAAGGGCACATTGCACGAGTCTGTCCCTCACCAAAAAATTCTAATGGAACCAGAATATCCGGCCGCCCTGCCTCACATTTGGCCAGCACCCAAACCTTACCTATACAGAATTGGTTGATGGATAGTGGTACCATGCATCATCCTATCTCTAATCTTGATAATCTTGCTTTTCATTCTGAATATCAAGATCCTGAAGAAGTCACTCTAGGTAATGATTCTAAATTACCCATATCTCACATAGGTAAAAGTTTCATCAGTGCTTCTGATAAAAATTTTAAACTTGATCATATTCTACATGTTCCTACCGCTACTCAGAATTTGGTCTCTATTAGTTCTTTTGCCAAGTCTAATAATGTTTCTGTTGAATTTTTTCCTGATCATTTTTTGATTAAGGACTTGGAAACAAAGGGGATACTACTGTCATGCCCCGAGCCTACACCCTGAGCGGGACCGGGACCGGGACCGGGACCCGGAGACCATTTCTGGCCCCAAGCGAACCCTTGGCCTGACTTTCTTAACTCAGCGGAAACCTAACCCAACAGAATAACTCAATGCAAATGCAAGGTTACAAAACAACTTAACTTATAAAATCCGGCCACAAAGGCA